ATACAGTAAATCTGCTATGTTCTGCTGGAGTGTGACAAAACTTGTGTTATTTGCAGCTATGATGGATTGTGTACAAACTAATACAGGATCAGCATAATATACTTCTCACCCAACCACAATTAAATTCACTCTATCCAGGAGGATAAATTTTTTAACAACAAGCTGTAATGAAATCGGAGTAATGACTTTCTACTTCTTACTTTTTTAAAAAATGTAATAAGTAGAAAGTACAGATAACTATGTAAAAATGTAAGAAGTGGAAGTAAAAAGTAGGCTGAAAAATAATTAGTCAAGTAAAGTACAGATACCCAAAAATTCTACATAAGTACASTAAAGATGTATTTGTACTTACTGTAGTTACTTCACATCTCTGATCCTTGTGCAGTCAGTACAAATCAGGCTATAATTCAAATAGTTTGAAGTTTGCAGTTGGTGTACTTTCCTTTTGGTTGTTATTATTTTGTATGTTTGTTATTGAGTTATTTATTATAGTAACAGTGATTTTGTCTTCTGTAATTTGCTGTAAGTTTAACACAGACTCAACGACCCTGACAAAGCAAAAGTTATATAGTTGACTTTTAAACTCAAGTTTGACTGCAGATTGAATTATTTTAGAAGATAATTGCTTTTGATCAGAATAAGCTAAAAAGGCTTAATATACTTGATAAATCACAAAAAGATTTGGTGACTCATTGACGGTTAATTTAAACTGGATCTCCTAAATTTGACTGAAACATGGAAGGAACAAGTAAAACACAAATATTTATTTTGAAAGGTCAGTTAGGCTAAAACTATGGAGTCCACGAGGGGACATGTTTTTTTTTTCTTTTGCATTCCCACGCAATATTATCGTGTTACCTCGCAATCTTAGCGTTACCTTGTAATACTTTGGCGTTACCTTGCAAAACTTTTTGCATTACCTCACAAACGTTTGCATTCCCTCACAAAATTGTTTTTGCGTTCCCACGCAAAAGTTTGTTTTGTATATGAACTGCATTAAATCAGACTTTTATTTTGAAATAAACAACATCAATGTCAATTTGACGGAGCCCGCGAGGGGACATGGTGGGATTTTTTTCTTTTGCGTTTCCACGCAATACCTTTGCATTCCCTTACAATACTTTTGCATTACCTCGCAATACTTTTGCATTACCTCGCAAAACTTTTGCGTTACCTCGCAATACTTTTGCATTACCTCGCAATACTTTTGCGTTACCTCTCAATATTGTTTTGCGTTCCCACGCAAAAAATATTTTGTATATGAACTGAATTAAATCAGACTTTTATTTTGAAATATCCAGTTACCAAAACAGGATGTCTCACCACGAGTTGTGAATTTGACATTGATGTTGCGTGGCTGCACTGTGTTAAAATATCAGCACATGACATACTGTACTTCCATGCATGGCTGAGTGATATATTCATTTTGAAGCTGAATTAAAGCAGTAGGCTAACTCCCAAGTGATGAGCAGGTGAATKTGTTAATAAACTGGCAGACACAACAGTGTTAAACGACTTTTGCGAGGGAACGCAAAATGTATTGCGATGTAACACAATACTTTTGCTTGGGAATGCAAAAAGAAAAAAAAAATCCTTTATGTCCCCTTGCGGGCTCCATGCAATTTCACGAACTCTTGGCGACACATCCTGTTTTGGTAAACGGATATTTCAAAATAAATGTCATATACAAAGCAAACTTTTGCGTGGGAATGCAAAACAATTTTGTGAGAGAAGGCAAACGTTTGCGAGGTAACGCACAATAATTGCGAGGTAACACAAAGATGTTGCGTGGGAACGCAAAAGATAAAAAAAATCCCCCCATGTCCCGTCGTGGGCTCCAAAGTATATGAACTGCATTAAATCAGACTTTTATTTTGAAATATCCAGTTACCAAAACAAGATGTGTCGCCACAATGTTGTGAAATTGCCATTGATGTTGTGTGGCTGCACTGTGTTAAAATAAAATGACATGCTTCCATGCGTGGCTGTGTGATATAGTCATTCCGAAGCTGAATTAAAGTAGTGGTGTAACTTGCTAATGGTGAGCATGTGAATTTGTTAATAAAACGGCAGGCACAACAGTAATAAATGACTTTTGCGAGGGAACACAAAAGGTTTTGCAAGGTAACACAATAATATTGCTTGGGAACTCGAAGGAAAAAAAAAATCCTATGTCGCCTCCCGGGCTCCGTACCGTACGTATTCATGTTGKGTGGCTGCACTGTGTTAAAATATCGGCATATGACATACTTCCATGCGTGGCTGTGTAATATATTCATTCTGAAGCTGAATTAAAGTAGGCTAGCTCACTAATGGTGAACATGTGAATGTTTATAAACCAGTAGGCACAACAGTGATGAAGAACTTTTGTGAGGTAACGCAAAAGTATTACATGGGAACGCAAAAGAAGAAAAATCTCCCATGTCCCCTCGTGGGCTCCGTACAAAATGTAAAGAGAAAGAAAACAGATAATTAAGAAATATGTACATTAATAACTATACTAATTTTGATTATATGTTTCTGACAGTGCGGCTGGCCAATAGGGGGCACTAGGGTGCTGCCCCACCACTATTTTT